TTCAAGAGGCATTGGAAACCGTCGCACAGATAAACGAAGAGCTAAAAGGAACGGAATTCGATGGTGCATTTTGCAAAAAATGCAAACTTCTAGTTGAGAGATTTTCTTATTTTTCGCTAAACGTAGAAAATCGGTAGAGAAAATGATTTATCAAAAGAAAAATAGGGGTCACCGAACATCTAAGATCGTTAAATCCAGGCAAAGCTCTCGCAATGGCCATCTGCCCTTTCATTATTCATTATATTACGTAGCATGCGCTCTCGTGCATGACTTGGCGTGTGAATTTGTGTGCGCAGTAAGGATGCGCAGAAACAATTAGCACGAACGTACTTAAGAACCAGAACCTCTCTTCGTCAGAACGAGACTAAAATACAATTGTTTATTGTTCACACTAGACGTGTACTAACTGGCAAAGAGATACACGTCGACACAATACAGTATATGACATTGATTGTTCTTTAAATCACTCATCCTTTTATCCTTTTTGGTCCGTTAACGAGGGAATAACATGCCTTTTTATCTGGCATCAGAGGTAATTAGGATTAAATTGGACTTAACATGCAACACCAGTGGCAATCTATGAAAATTTTAACATGGCGTTGAGGGTTTCTTCCAAACTTCTACATTTGATCTTCTTTTTCTTTGTATTAAATTTCTCGTGGAAATTACCAGAAAAAGAAAGCTAAAGGCCTCAGGGCTAGTTTTATCTATGAAACCGAACTAACCCGTCCCGGTGGCCTTGCTTGGCTATGAACCAAAAGATTTCGGTTTCTTGTGGGCTTTAGATTTGAACGCCACCGAAATCCCACGACAAGGTTGACTTTTGCTTTGGTCGGTAATTAGCCAGGCTCAAAAGGCAAGGTGGCAGAGTTGTTCGGATGTTGATGCTATCAATATTATGACGGCAAACCACTTCTCTCAATGGAGCGGGATCGTCCGTTTCTTCTCTCTATTTGTAACACCATCTTGGTGGAGGGTGTGCTATCAACGTGACGCACAACAGGGTTGTGTTGACATCAATGTGGTAAAATGCTATTTGGTGTCAGAGCCTTCAATTGGAATAAAACCCACGTATCATTTCCCAATTACATTGTTATTGATTTTTCTTTAATCAATATTTTAGCAAATTAATAGATTAAAATCGTATCATTCTCGTGATATGTCAAATTTTTAATTATTCTTGTTCTGATTACAACGATCTTATCAAAACTTTCTATTTTGAGAAAGAGCCCTTTTACGCGATCTACCAAATCGTAGAAACAAGCACAATTATTCGGTTTTCAGGCACGATGTACTTGTTGAAATGCTCCTACTTCTACCCTCAACAAATTTACACAAAACTCATCACTTGCATTTGAGGATATTCTCCGTGTAAACTTCTTTCGTAGGTGAAAAGGGAGGGGTACAAACAGTCTTTTGTTTGGAGTTTACAAGTTAGTTTCAGGTTGTGAACGTAGAGCTCTTTCCTGGTCGGCTCTCCTCTGTCGTTTCTGCGCTGCTTGCCTCTTGCCTGATACAAGGTTTCTTAACGCTTTTCTAAATTCCTGCATTCGTATGGCGTATACAAGAGGATTCACTATGGAATTTGCAAAATATATCATCATCAGGATATCGTGAATATCAGCGCTTGATGCACTATGCCGTCCGTTCTTTATGTCTACTGGCACGGAATGGTAAATAGCCATAGGAAGAATCGTGAGAACGGAAACTCCAGTGACTATGAATAATGTGACTGATAGTTTCTTTTCTTTGTGAATTGATCCATGATGTTGTGAATGAGGACTTATTTGAACATTTACAACAATTATGATATAAGAGATCACGAGGGCAAGTAACGTGACAGCTCCAAATGATGCCTCAGTGTACTCAAATGCTTCTTCTGTTAAAATATTCCTGACAAAGGCCAGAAGGAGACTTGTTAACCAGCTAGCGATGATAATTTTGATGTAAACCCATTTCGAAATCAAGCAATGTCTAAAGGGAAAAAGTGTTGCATGTAGCCTCTCTAGAGATATCAAAGAAAGATTGACCGGGGAAGCTATTGGGAAGGTGACTTGCAAGGCGCAAATAATTGATCCTGGCAAGGTGCAATCGTAGTAGACGGTCAGTGGTCCTGTCACGACACCCACCAGTAGGTCGGCTACGGTCATGTTCATTATGAGGTACGTACTACGCTTGCGTAGATGGCGATGTGTTGCAAAGGCGGTGATGGTGATGGCATTGATCATCGATATCACAAGAAACTCAGTGACGAAGACTGGAAACCAGTCAATGTCCTCTTTCGCAGAAGAATTGCTAGCAGCCATTTCTTTGAACGAAGATTTATAGGCTTCTTCTTGTAATTATTCCATTTCGGCTATTAAATAACAATAAAAATATTAACCTCTTACTAACTAAGTGTGAGGAATGTTGGCCCGGGGTCGTGGCAGTACTGGCTGAACGCAGCGAGGTCCATATAAAAACGACCTAGGGCACGACCAAGAGGAAATATTTCCCAGTACGGCTCGAGTAGGCTAGGTTAGTAAGTAGTCTATTATATATATTGCACTAAAGAAAAAAAAAATGCATGGTTTATGATTACAAATCCCTACAAAGAAAGAACGAATGAGAACGCACGGATTTACGACAGAATAAAAATGAACTATCTTTGTTAACATAACATTATCAAGAGTGGACAACGTTATGATTCCAAATTAACTTAGTTTCCTTTGATTTAC